TACGGAATTCCTACCGCTTGAATTAGGGAGCACTGACGCCATTCTCGGTATGCAATGGCTGGAAACTTCGGGCCACATGAAGGTTAACTGGAAGGCGCTGCAGATGAAATTCAAGGGGAAGGAGCTGTCCTAATGCAAAACAACAAACCAGTKGCCTATTTCAGTMAAAAATTACCAGTGACAGGGAAGTATAAATCAGTGTATGAGCGATAATTKATGGCGATTGTGTTAGYGGTTAAGAAATGGAAGYWTTATAWCTGACGGGGAAGCRATTCATCATCAAAACCGATCAGCGTAGCCTCAAATATTTGCTAGAGCAGCGTGAAGTCTCCTCCGACTATCAAAAGTGGTTGGTAAAATTAATCGGTTTCGATTTTTTKATCCAATTTAAACCGGGCAAAGAGAATGCTGCAAGCCGACACCCTTTCAAGGAGGGCCCATCAACCTACTTTAATGGAATTAATTACATTCCAAGGTTGGGACATCACTCAGCTTGTCAACGAAGTGAATCAAGACCCTAAATGGAAGACACGCATTGCGGAACTCAAGAATGGCAATCCAGAGTCGAGTCCCTTTCAGTTGAGGGAAAACATACTGCTCCGGCATGGTAAGATTGTTATTCCTCAACAATCTCCGTTGATGGTTCATATTCTAATGGAATACCATGATGGAACCATCGGSGGTCATGCCGGGTTCTTAAAAAACATTGCARCKGGTCAAGGCAGAATTTTGGTGGGAGGGAATGAACAAAAGGATCCGAGAATATGTGGCAGCTTGTGTGACCTGTCAAAGAAACAAGAGTTCCACCTTGACACCGGTGTGGCTGTTGCAACCCTTGGATATTCCCCAACGTGTTTGGGAAGAWATTTCCATGGATTTTGTGGAAGGATTACCCATGTCGGAGGGATTTAACTCCTTGTTGGTGGTGGTCGATCGACTTAGCAAATATAGTCGTTTTCTTGCTCTACRACATCCATTCACAGCCCCTAAAGTCGCTGGCATTTTTCTGAAAGAAATTTGTGCATCTACACGGTGTGTCGAAATCGATCRTCTCGGATAGGGATGAAATCTTCCTTAGCCATTTTTGGCAGGAACTGTGACGTTTACAAGKTACTAAACTCAAATTTAGTACGACATACCACCCCCGGAGTGACGGACAAACAAAAGTAGTCAATCGGGGTATAGAGGCATAGTTGCGCTGCTTTGCTGGGGGCAGCCTAAGAAATGGGASATGTGGCTTCCTTGGGCAGAATATTCTTACAACACCTCTTTCCGCACATCATCCACTACCCCATTCAAGATTCTWTATGGTCGCGACCCACCAATGTTAACTCCCTATTCAGACATGGCAGTCTCCATCTCTTCGTTGGACCAAATGCTAAAGGACAGAGATCACATGCTGACAAAACTCAAAGTCCACTTACAGAGACAGAAAGCACAACAAAGAATGAAAAGTTCGGCAAACAAGCACCAGCGCGACGTAGAATATTCGGTGGGTCAATGGGTGTTCTTGAAGACGAGACCGTATCGGCAAACATCGTTGTCCGCTCATCGTAGTGCGAAGTTGGCACCCGTTTGTACGGGCCGTTTATTAGTATTGAACACATTAGAAAGGTTGTGTACCGCCTTCAACTACCCAGTGACAGTACTGTTCACCGTGTTTCATGTTTCTCAACTGAAGGAGGCAATTGGCAATAACGTAACACCGATACATCTCCCAACCGGACTCACAATCGTAGTGCGAAGTTGGCACCCGTTTCTACGGGCCGTTTATTAGTATTGAACACATTAGAAAGGTTGCATACCGCCTTCAACTACCCAGTGACAGTACTGTTCACCCTGTGTTTCATGTTTCCCAACTGAAGGAGGCAATTGGCAATAACGTAACACCGATACATCTCCCAACCGGACTCAYAGACAATTGGGAACTTCAAGTGGAGCCTGAATGTTTGAAAGGAATACAGTAYCGAAACAACAAGACTATCGAAGTATTTATTGGGTSGCGAGGATTACTGGCATTCAAAGATACATGGGAGTCTTATGATAACATGCGTAAACAGTTTCCAGCATTTCACCTTGAGGACAAGGTGAATCAGTTTGTTTGGGGGGGGGGTATTGATAGGCCACCGATTTCAAAGGTTTATTCTAGAAAGCGATAATTTTTGGTAATTTTGGTAAATTAGAAACAATAAATAGCGAGTAGAGAGGAGGGGAATGAGGAGGGGATTCTTGTGATCTTTTTTGGTTTAGGAGAGATCTGGCTCTCGAACCCAGAATTATCTTTTTTTCGTTCTTGTAATCGTTTTCAATTCAGCAATTCGAATATGAAACAGCCAATTGGTTCTATCACAAGACCACTTAATTTAGATGGTGAATATTGCATAATGTGGTTATAAAGGGTTGTTGATGTGGATTTAAGTAGTAGAAACTAAAATATGAAAGGAAACGAGTGAAAACAAATTGAGGCAAACTAATTATCAAGTCTGAAGCAAGAACAATTGCTAGATTAGTTATAGAAATATGTAAATTATGCTACAAAAAGCTACAACATASTACCACTTAAATTCCAACACGGCACCACCCAACAATTCTTCAATGTGTCAATGATTTTTCCAAATCTATTGCACAAGTGCCCTCCTAAATAAACCAACATAATTAATGCGTACGTCCTCAACAACGTAAAGAAATCTAGGAACTTGCTGAATTATTATTCATTCCTACCAACATTGGAGAGGTTGGCACTCTCCAGTTCATTACACAATTTCGATATCCCTCCCTGCTACTTGTCCCTCACTTCTGTAAGCTGACTACCACACGATCCAACTAACTAACCGCTAACTTCCCCAACTAGCCACAATTGAAAAGACCACTCTACCCCTGGCTTTTTTTTTCAAGGAATTTGTGAAGCGTATTCCAGATGCATCAATATTCGTACGAGGATTTAAACAAGGTAAATAATATACATGCCTGTACTACCCTCAATAACCAGCAACACTCATGAACATGCATTAATCATGGATTTCCAACTGATATTAACCATTTTTGTACTGATATGAATATGATATCCTATTGATGGTGGCCAATCAACAACAAGAAGTAAGCACACACACATGATTAACAAGAATCTAYATGATATTCACGTCCATAGCATCTCGATTTTTCTTCATTAGTATCCTAACTATTAGAAACTTAGTTTATAATGGGAAGAAGAAACCCTTAATACAGGATTTGTTCATTGTATTAAAGGAGCAAAAGAATGAAGGTAAAATGTAGAAAAAGGATAAGAGATTGAACACTTCTGTTTGTGGATTTTTTWAAAGTATATAACATTTAGACACGGCAAATTAAACTCACACACACTCCTCACCTTTGGTGAAGTTTGAACCTGGACCTATACGAAGGTTGGGTTCGGTAATACCGCTTTTCACGCTTCTTTTTCTTGCTTTCTTCAAGAAAAAGTTTTTCTAAGTGATTCTCTCCAAAAGATGTCTAGTAGAAAAATGTTGTTACAGAAATGTAGAAATGATGTAAACTCGATAGTTTAYAGCAATGGATTTTACGATTAATCGAATGCTTGAAAGAGAACAAGGTATACGCAGCAATTTCGAGAGTGCTGGATCTCTCCCAGGCTCACGTCAATTACAGGATACGAATCAGATCCTCTCTCCTTCTCTCCTCTCCTCTATTTAACAGATCCCCACTGCTATGTTTCCCTTTTTATCCCTTATTATCTGTGGATGTTTTCTTGTGCTCTTTATGTATGATTGGCCATTGGGTTAGATATGAAGGATGCTGCTTCATTCACAATTCATTTAAATGAGGAGCTGAACGTATTTGTCTATATACAYGAGTCATATGCTTTAAGATCCTTATTTTGTAGTGTTCTATAGTTATGTTCCCGTTTACACTGGTTAGAGTTGCATGTTTATCAAGTGTAATATGTTTTTTGGCACATGTTAGATCCTCAAAGTAATCAGACTTCTCTTATTGTGTTTCTTGAACAGGAACACTTGAACAGAGACGACTTATCATTTATATTTTCACTTAAGGCAAGTTGTATCTAATTCTGATAGTCCTTCCTTTTATTTCTCAAATGGCAACATTTTGGTTCATTAATAGGCTAGCATCAAATAAAACAGACACCCAAATGATAATCTGCTTTCATTTGTATATAAACCTTGTTTGTATATTGATTGCCAAAACAGATAAAAAATATCTTTTACTTCTACACTTCCTTTAACTACATGCTTGAAAGATTTATCGACCATATTTTTATTCCTTTGCAATCATATGAATTACATCATTCTCATTCAATTTTAATCAAATTAGTAACATGACTGGTCAATTTGGGATAATAGTAGGATGGGAATAGTTTGATGGAGAGAATATTAACAATTCGACCATTATTGTCGATTTGTGTTAAGTACTCTGATTAGAATTGGATGTGGTGTWTTGATATAATAATGAAGTTATAAGCATGTGATTGATAAATTTTTTGTTCAAATATGTAACTGAAACAAGTGTGACAGCGACATTTTGTACTGATGCTAAAAGGGAAAAAGRAAGAGTGGTTCAACTAGCTGAAATAGCACTGAAACACATCTTTTTCACTTACGGGTCAATTTAGCTTACATGGCTCCTTGTTATTGAAGTTGCAGAGTTCAAATGGTTGAAGGTTAAATTATTATAAAAAAAACTGTAAGTGTTGGCATGACTATAGTTGATTGTTATGTTATTAGCTCCACGCCTCCAGCTTGTTGCCATTTTACCTGTTATATAGTAATATAGAATTTGTGGAATCTCATATGATGAATGGTATTCTGGAAGTTCTATTCCGCAGACAAGGTCCTGTAGGGTCACCTGGTGGGCCCTAACATGACATGTGTGCCAATGGCCTTCTGCAAGCACTATTCATCTTGTGGAGTTCCACAAATTACATATGAAGACATGTTAGGTAACAACTAGCAAGATTGAATGTGTCGAAATTTGTTATAGAATTCTGGGAGGTACTACAAAATGTGTGCACACAGTCACAATAATAGGCTTTTCTTTGTATTGATCAGGTGGCTGATAATGCAACCCTTTACGGTATTTGCCTACAAACACAAGATTTTGTTCAGAGACCACCAGGGATGCTTGGTACTGCATCGTCCCTTGCCCGAGCATCCAGAGGAGGCAGTCGTTGTTTAGTCTCCGCACCTCGCTGTTACTGTATATTAACAAGAGTTCCTTTCTTTGAACTACACTACGAGATGTTAAACAGGCTAGTTTTGTGCTGCCTTCACTCATATGAAATGAAAACATGTTGAATGTGAACTAGCACTCCATAATGTGCATGTACTTGGATGCAGTATCATTGCACAGGAGCGCCTCAATCGAATAACACATTTTGCTAGTGAAGTAAGTCTCGATCATGTCCCTTCRGCAGCCAAACTAAATGACCAAGCAGTTGAATGTACTGACGATACAAGCAAGGAGCTCTCATGGATGGACTCTGCAATACCAGTTGACAACGAGCTAGCCATTTCTCCTCCTTCTGCCGCTGCTGCAGTCATTATAGACAATGTGATAAGTTCACCTTCAAGATTGGAAACTGGGTCTCCAAGTAGTGCTGTCTTTAGAGATAAAAGTTTTAATAAAGAAATTCAAACGGAAACTGTTGGAAGAAAGGATCTGCCTGATCTTGATGATAGTAATCATGACGCCTTGGAAAAGCGATGGGAGTACCTCGGGAAAATGCATGGAGATTATGAAACTGTCCGCAGGGAATATGTTGAGGCGTGTGTTTTTCCGCCGAGTCAGACACTTGAACGACTTGGAAGTTCCGGGCCCTTGTTCAGGTAAAATTTTTGTCTGCTATTGTTTGTGTATGTGTGTGGAAATTCGTTGCACCCTATAAGTTGATTGTACAGTAATATGCTTTTGCAATTATTGAATACCATCTTCTTGTCTTTAATCAGTTCAGTAAAAGGCGTCGTATCAGAGGATGAAGATGTAGTACTTTCTTGCAGTGATAAAGATGCTATTAATAAGGCGATTATGGAATGGGCTAGGGTGTGTTAACTTTCCTTGCTTACAAGTAACTAAGGGRGTGTTTGGTTCAGGTGGGGGAATGAAAATGGGATGAATTTTCATTCCCCCAGTTYAACCTGGAATGGAAATTTGGACTTCTGAGGGAATAAACCCATTATATTCTATAAAACCAAACAGTTTCTTTCATTTCATTCCCATTAATTATTGTTTATACCTCTAACCAAACACCCCCCTGAGTTATCTAGCAAATATACCCATGTTGATTGTAACCAATCTTGTTAATCATCTGTTCATGGCAGGAACATAAAAATGATTTGCTACAGATTGTTTGTGGCTATCATGCTTTACCAGTTCCATCATATGGAGGTAAAATAGTTTTCAGGCCACTAGAGCATCTACAAACTATTGAATATTATAGAACTGCTTTTTCTTTTGGAGAAGATCCCAAAGAGCAAATATTGGATATTCCTGATAAGGTACATTGGCTTGTTGATTCACTGTTAGGATTCACTAATGCAYGGTGTTGCTAGATAGCTGATATGTATTGTTTTACAAGGTCAAATTCAAGCTTGCCGCAATCGAGGAAGCTGTCTCACTGTCAAATTGGACAACMGCAACAATTTGTAGAGTTCTTTCCCTTGAAAATGTATATGTTTTTCCAGCATGCTATACCTTGGTTGAGTTGTTATGGTCGTCATGGGCGGAGCCACCTTGGAGCCAGAACCCAGAMGTGGCATTGGCTCCCCCTCAAACTTCAAAAATAAAATTTAATATAGTCTGAAACCTCAATTACCTACTTGAAATTTTATTTATTCATATCAAATTCTTCTTTTTCTTACTTTATAAATGCCAAGTTTTCTAAAGGTTCTAAAATAAACACCTTACTTGTTGAATACAAAAAAAAAAATTACGATAAATTTCATGTATTTTCAAAGGGCTTTTCTAATTTATATGGTTATCTACACACATCTTGTATTTGTTTGTATACATATAGATATAGTTATGTTGTTTAGGTCGCTCAWGCTGTTCAACTATTTTTAGGACAAGTATTTAATTAAAGAAACATTTATATTTAAAAGGGTTTTCMAATCTTGAAATCGTGAATTTTCTTACATTTTGTTCTAGGCACCCCTAGATAGATTTTCTGGCTCCGCCGCTGATGGTAGTGCAAGAGAAATACCTTATCCATGTATTCCTTSCATTGGGTGGATCTTTGATATCCATGCTTACTATGTTTATATAATATTAAAACTGATTTCAGATTTTAATTTTGCTTGCTGGGGTTTTATTGGAGAAACAAGTGATCATCACGTCCCCAAATCTGGTAATATGTTTCTGAAAGTTGTTAACCCCGTTGAATTCGAATATGATTATAGCATGTCATAGTTTTTTGCTATTGATYAGTACTACTAGTGATTGTTCTTACAAACTGATTGATTGACCTTCATAATTCTTTATTGTAACATATGTAGGGTGTCTTATCAGCCACAGTGTTATCTCTTATTCCTATGATTCTTCCATTTGAATGGCAAAGCCTGTTCCTTCCGGTGAGTCATACATATTCATTAGTCCATCGCTCCCTCTTAATGCACTATAGTGGTTTGCTTCTGCATTTTGAAGTTAAAACTTTCTGATTCTGAACCACAAGCCCTTTGTTTGGCATATTCGAAAGTTTRATATCATTCGTCCATGGAAGCCTGATGTCATCTTTGACCCTTATATGTTTGGTGGAARATTTTAATTCTTGGTACTTGGTAGTACTTTGACCCTTAGAAACAAGATTTGCACCTTCAACTCATGTTTTCTTTTACAGGTTCTTCCTGGGAAGATGTTTGATTTCCTTGATGCCCCTGTTCCTTTTGTCGTAAGTTTCTGATATCTTTTCTCGATTTGCCTTTTTTCACATGGTTGATGCTCAGTTTTTGTTGGATTCTTCATTTCTTAGAAGTTTGAAATATTGTTGAAAAGGAATCCCAAAATTTGAAGCACCTTTACTAAGGTTTTCAGAGAGGTGCGGTAGAGATATAAATAATATGTTTAACTGCACCTTATTATTTATATTCATTGTGCAGGTTGGGATACTGCATAAACCAGCTGATAACAAGATAAAAACATCTAACCTTGTTCATGTTGATTTGACCCATAATGAGGTATAAGGCTTAGAGCAAACAATTTTTATTAACTTTTAGTTGCAAATCGTTTAAATTTAGCTCATGGACCATAAACATAAATGGAACATGTTGGTGGAGAATCTTCATTCTCTAGCATGCATATCCTTTGTATTATCCGAGAGCAATACAAAGTGAAGGGTGATTCATGTATACAAGTACACGATGAATAAATGCCTGTATTTTTCCCTTTGAAGTTTGTGCAAACCATAGTTGTTAAAAGYGCGCTTGAGGTTCATAAGGCTCAAGGTCTTGGGCTTTTTAAAGTCGAGGCTAGGYGTATTAAYGAGGCTCACTAAGGCCCTATGCCTTGGCTGAGGCGCCTTGTGGTCCTAGGCATGCCTCATAAAGAGTTATTAAATACCAAGTCCAACCCCAATATTARATAAGTTTTCTCATCTTCTCATCTCCTAGAGTTCTTACAAAAAGAGTTATTAAATAGATGATACAAGTCAAACCCTACTATTAAATACCCAGTTCTTATAACTTCAAGCTTCTTTCTCTACATATTTGAGTTGCGTATAACTTTGTGTGTGTGTGTATACTTTTTTGTAAAAAAATGCGTCTCACATTCCCAAGGCCCATGCCTTGAGCCTTCAACAACTTTGGTTGCAAACTCTATTCGACATATATATATATATATATATATATATATATATAGATAGATAGATAGATAGATAGATAGATAGATAGATAGATAGATAGATATAGATAAATATATATAGAGAGAGGGGAGGGGGAGGTTCAGGGGAAAACCCCAAAAAAGTAAAAAACTAAGGAACACTCTGGTAACCTTCATCTGGACGGTATGCACATGTGCATACAAGTAATTTGTCTGGTGTGCACGTGTGCATGCATAAAAAACAAAAAAAAAAAAAACTTCAATTACTTGTATGCACATGTGCTATTGTCTTGAGGAACGGTTACAAGGGTGTTCTTTAGTTTTTCATTTTCTTGCAGTTTTCCCATGAACCTTTTATATATATATATATATATATATATATATATATATATATATATTAGGGAGAGAAAAGCTTTGTCTTGGTCCCTTTAAATTGGAAATGCTCAGTTGCAACAATAGCAGTCTTGGACCCATGAAAATTGCAACATTACCTTGGGTAAAATTGTCAAAGTCGGATTGCCAATAATGTCCATTGTACTCGTTACAACATAATGATGCTATTGATTATTAGATAGAACAATGTATTCCCGCCTTCCAGGTCATATCTTCGCAATTTTCATGGGACCAAGGGAGTACATTTTGACCAAACTATTATGATAACTATTAAGCATGTTTCTAAACTAAAATAGACCGGGATCAGTTGTAACTCAATTTTCTGGACATTCATGGGCTACTGCGTATTCTTATATGGGAAAATYTTATTTATATTTTAAGGTCATATAGTATTTGAAATTTCTGGTTTAATTCATCTAGTTACCATTCTTGCAGGTTGAAATTTCCTCTTTGCCGCCATTTCCTAAGCTAAGAGAACTCATCACCAGACTAGGGCCACTTCATGCTAGACTWGCAGCTGACAAATCTGCTATTCGAAAGCATCCAGTATACAGGTTGAACAAATTTCAGGTGATTTCTTACAATTTTTCACTCTGCTACAATTTTCTTGCCTTCCCAGTGTTGGATTTTAAATGCCTGATATCAAAAGTAGAAGTCCAAAATACTTGAATACTTATGGGCTATGGGACATCTCATGTGCATTGTGACAGACTTGGSATCATGTGAGACCAGATTGTTTTCATGAGACCCGTGAGACCACGTATATAACWCTAAACCTTCATAGCAAAACCTTCTGAAGGTAAACCTTCACAGTGTTTTTGATGTGAAGGTTCGGCGTTTTTCGTGCCTCCAAATGTTTTGTTGYGAGGTTTCAGTGTTATTTTGTGRTCTCGTGGGTCTCAAGAAAACAGGTTAGTCTCACGTGAACCCAACCCATGACTATATATGACATACAGCAACGTAGAATTCTATATACTCATTTTGTCCCAAAATAAATGCAACAATTTCATTTTGATAAGATTGCAATCCAATTTAACTTTTGCCCATCAGTAATCATTAGAAGATGAGGATTAGATTCCGGTCCACGAGGTTWCTCTATCTTGTTGGAGGGCATTTTAGATATTTGACCAATGTTGGCTCTAATTAAACTACTTGTAAGTCAAACATTCATTTTTTGGGGGGCTGCTGGGGGAATAGAAAGAAAGTACAAGTGTCGTCTTGCCCAGAAAGGTTCAAATCGATGTTCACCATTTTAGATAGCTTAGTGTAGAATTGGATTTCTTCCCATTTGAGTTACTGGTGTTAATTAAAATTCATTACATTAATTCTTCGTTAAATGACTAAAATGGTGAACACAGTTTGGATCTTCCAAAGCGAGAGTTGTCCAATCAAACGTTACTTTTGCCCCTCTTCCGATGCACAAAACCTTTCTTGACCAAAAGACCGAAATAACCCTAGCTAAAAACAGATTTTCAGGACTGTGGACGCCGTTTATAGGCGCGTGGCTAATATGCTTGCAGCCGTGAGTAGTACAAAAATGTCAATATTCAGATTTCTTGGTCGCGGACGCGTGGCTAAATCACTTGGCGGCGTGAGCAGCTTCCAACTCTTTTTCTTCGTCTCTTCCGCTACCTACACCACTTGCACGTCCTCCCTTGTTTTCTTTTCCGCATCCACACACACCTACACACTGAAAATATTCATCAAAACATGAATATACCCACAACAAAGTAATAGGCATCAAAAAGACAGAAACCAAACAAAAACGTAAGAAAAATGCATGAGAAACGCTAGGACCTGCACGAAAACGATGCAATATGCTATAAAATGAGAACATACAAGAGAAACAGAAACAAATCAGACCRAGTTTACAGAATTGTAATAACCACAAGCTTATTATGATCGTTAAATATTCGAAAATAACTTGTCACTGTGATACAGAATGAAGCTGCGGCACAATTTTTAACCGTCTTGAGGCAGCACTTGGAGTCCCTTTGTACAAACTTATCATCCCACGCAATCACTAGTGTACAGTCTGATGATGATAGGGTAAGATAAAGCTAGAAATTATGAAACTATCCTACTTCAARTCTCAACCTATCCATGGTTACTTGCAGTTAGAGATGGGCAAAAAGACCAGATCTTTTAATCAGACAGGTCCTACACTAGACCATGACATTATTAGGATGGACTAGGCGGCACCGCTGATCCTTAATCGGTCTAAAATTGTTTAGGACACGTCCGTGCCCATCTCTGCTTGTGGCTAGTGTGATGCTGCTTGGTGCCTTTCTACTTATGATTTCTCATTTGCAGGTTTCCTTACTTATGAAGGAGAGCTATATTGATTCTTTCCCCGCTAGAGACCGACCATTTATCAGGGTACAATCTTTATCATTTYGCTTTTATGTTCAGAATTTATGTATTTGTTCTGCAAGCGGGAGTCTTCACGTAAACAACCTCTCTACCCCTCGGGGTAGAGATAATGCCTGCTTACATCTTTACCCTCTCCAAACCCTATCTTTGTGTGGCATTTTACTGATCCGTTTGGTTTGGTTTTAAGTTCAGAATTTACCTATTTGTTCTGCAACTTCATGGAAACAACCACTCTACCCCTTGGGTAGAGGTAAGGTYTKTCTACATCTTACCCTCCCCAGACCCTAYCTCTGTGTGGAATTTACCTGGTCCGTTTGGTTTTGTTAGAGCATCTCCAATGGATTCTCTATAATAGAGAGAATGGAGTTTTTATTCTCTATTTTGCTCTAACGGCTTMTCTATATTGTTCTGTAAAATAGAGAAAACTCTAAGTTTAGAGAATTATCTAAAACTTGATTTGAGGGGGGAGAAATGAATTTTTTATTCATTCACACCAATGAGATTTAATATCATTATTTTATATGAAGTTTTTAAAAAAAATCTATTGGCATGATAGAACTATAGAATATTTTAATAATATAATTAATGTTGAAATCTCCAAAATATAKAATCCGTTGGAGTAAAATGTAATCCTTTTTTAGAGATTTTGAGTTTTGGAGAAATTTTAGAGAATTTGTGTCTTGGAGATGCTTTTAGTGTCCTATTATCGGTTAGACTTGAATCATTTYTCTTTTATATATGTTGGAACCCCCCTTCCCTCCTCAAATACTCTTTTGGAGAGTAATCCGGGGTTCCACATATCCTCACAGGTTTGGTTTTAAGTTCATAAATATCCTTGTTGCAAGTTGCAACTCATACGGTCCGATTTTTCTCTCAATGGTTTTGAATGTTCAACAATTGAGTCCTTTAAATTAACCACTTGGGTTGTGGCGCCCTCGTTAAGGCTTAGGGGAATGTAGTGAAATCTCATCTTCTCAGGTTYGAGTCTAGGCGTTGCCAAACCCCTTGTGGTCATGGAGGTCCAGCTGCTATGACTAGGGTATTTGTGGTCGCCCAGGGGATTAGTCTATGCTCGTAAGCTGACTCGCAAACCCACGATTACCCAAGAAAATCCTTTAAATTTGACCCTTAAACTGTTTATAACGCCATTTTTTTTCCGCTTGTGCTACAATTTGTAGAATAACCATACATGAAAACCGTTTATAATGCAATAWTTTTTGCGTTTTGCAGCAATTTGTAGATACACAAATGTTCACAGTTCTATCGGACACTCGACTATCTAGAATTCAGAATTTAACATGAACAAAGTTACGATTTCAATCCCGTTACTTGGATTCAGTTTCTTAGCTTTTCGGTGGCTTCGAAGACATCTTCAAACATCAAATTTGTAGCATGACCACAAAATTTTAGTATTGTGTCATAATTCATGGAAGTTATTCGTTACTTTTGTAATACAAATACTGATACCATCATCCCTKTATTTGGAAAAATGGATATGAACCGTTAACAGTTGAATTCTGAGCTCTTTGCAAGTCCATAATTGGTAAAGTTAATAAATACGACATTTTTCGCAAGGTGGGGGTCTTTTTGGAAACTATCTTTCTGTATCTTGAGATAAGAGTTCTGTACATTTCAGTGAGATATAYTGGGTTTGTTTAGTCTGGTTTATTGTGATTTTTGTGGATTTTGGTGGTCATTCGGGTCGATGGCTGGTATGATTTTCGATGGTTTGTGTCCATCTATTCAAATTTGTAAACGAATTCTCGAATGTTTCAAAGAGATTTGGATTTCATGGAGGAGGGATTTGGATTTGGAT